GAGTTTGCAGAAAACAATATGATTTCGATTTTTTATGAATTTATTAAATATTGCTATATAGCCAGGTATACAGTATAGGACTTTGGCAGGTAATTATTAAATAATAAAACAGTAAAACAACATGAAAATCACCACAATGGTAGACAGTGAGATGTAGAACAATAATCTGGTGGAGGTTGCAGAAAACAATTTGATTTCGATTTTTTATAAAATTTTTTAAATATTGCTATATAGCCAGGTAAACAGTATAGGACTTTGGCAGGTAATTATTAAATAATAAAACAGTAAAACAACATGAAAATCACCACAATGGTAGACAGTGAGATGTAGAACAATAATCTGGTGGAGGTTGCAGAAAACAATTTGATTTCGATTTTTTTTTATAATTTTTTTTAAATATTGCTATATAGCCAGGTATACAATATAGGACTTTGGCAGGTAATTATTAAATAATAAAACAGTAAAACAACATGAAAATCACCACAATGGTAGACAGTGCGATGTAGAACAAGAATCTGATGGAGTTTGCAGAAAACAATTTGATTGCGATTTTTATGAATTTATTAAATATTAGTTTTATTATTTAATAATTGCCTGTCAAAGTCTTATAGACTGCATTGTTACAGTATACCTTGTACCTTCCTATACCTTGTTATACAGCAATTGCTGTATTACAAGGTATAGGAAGGTACAAGGTATAGGGTATAACAAGGCAGTGTATAGGACTTTGGCAGGTAATTATTAAATAATAAAACAGTAGATCAACATGAAAATCATCACAGTGGTGGTATGTGAGATGTAGAACAATAATCTAGTGGAATTTGCAGAAAACAATGTGATTTTATTTATTTTATTATTAATGTATATTTTTAAAAGTCTGCCGACACCAAGCGCATACACATTGAGCCTACCACGCAACCTCGTGTAGACGCGCAATATATTTTAAGCGTAGATGGCGTGACCGCGCTTTTCTGAAGCACAGATGGCGTGACCGCAGTCCTATACGATACCCACAAGGAACGGTCAGAATCAGATATTTTCGTATAACGTTACGTTACCTACTTAAAATAGTGAGCTGATACGTAGCAACATTTTTTTTTTTTGCAACAGAACTTTCACGCGTTCATTCATAAATTCACCCCGTCTGGATTGCGAGGCACTGAACTGACGTTTTCGGCTTTGTGTGTGTGTGTGTGTGTGTGTGTGTGTGTAGTAGTAGTAGTAGTAGTAGTAGTAGTAGTAGTAGTAGAAGAAGAAGAAGAAGAAGTAGTAGTAGTAGTAGTAGTAGTAGTAGTAGTAGTAGTAGTAACAGTTCCTGGAAGCTTGCTCATTCAGCTGATACAGTATACATAACCTCAGTTTGCCAATGGTTTTGGACGATAAATGTGGTTGAGATGATGTGGACACTTTTTGTGTCCTCACTGTTAATAATATTCCAAAATGAATGAGTGTTGGTGACATAACTGCACATAGGCCTGTTTATTGTTACTGCTACTGATCAGCTTTCAATTATTGTTAATAATAGTTGCAACTTGCACTCTTAAATGTGCAATGAAAATTGCCAGCTGATAAAATATGTGCTCCAGGGACCAGATTCATAAAACATCCAAGGCTTCATGTTGCACCTAACTGGCTGAGTTAGATGGTGATTAACACTAAATTTTAGAAAATCAGTCTATTCTGCCCGCCTGAATAGGTGTCATTTACACTGGGACAGGTCCCATCACTTTGTCAGTTTTTTCTCCAAATGTTCTGAAAACAACAAGAAATGTTCAATAACAAATGTAAGTGCTATGAACATGAAAAGCAATATAAATTTAAATATACATCAAACACATTTGCATTCTCCAAAAAAAAAAAAAAAACCTAAGCTAAAAGGAAGCTACTGATTACAACATTATATTCAATTATATTTTAAATTCTGAATCTGAATCGTCACCTGCCACCTGAATTTTGTGTTTCCCTTTTTATAAATAAAGATATTTCCACCATAAATTGTTGCAGAAAATGTCCCCAGTCTTGTTCTTGTGTCCCCAATATTCTGGATTGTAACGTAGCCTATCATACGCTGCGTGTTGTCACAACTCTAATCTGAGCCGTAAAATGTACCCACCACTGTTCAACACAAAGTGACGCCCTTGCCCACCTGTCATTGGCTGTAAAAGTCTGTGCAGTGTTGACAAATCACAGTCCTTTAGAATGCTCTATAGTGGATGCATACTGCATGTTTTAGTGCAGCCCTTACCATGAAGAACGGCACCAAGTATGTCTTAAATTAGCTTGTCCACACACACCCCGCATCCCCCACTCTTGCAGAGATCACTCACACAGACATTTAAATGGGTTTAATGTGAATGATTATTGTTTAGTATCGTTTTATAGGTCTCAGAGTGACTGGTAATAATGGCTCATTCCCATAGAAGTAAAACAAAAGGTAAAAATGTTTTAAGAGTTTAGGAATAACTGACACACAAAGGAATGTGGTCTCTAGGCACTTCCAAAGGTGTAAATTAATGAATGCTAATTTCCACTGTTCTTAGCAGATGGTCAAGCTTCTTCCCCCAGTAAGTATGGTGGGGGAATACAGTAAATTTTCACTAAACTCATGTTTTACATATCAAATAAGGTCATGCTGTATAAGGAAAATGCAGCGAGAGCTCAGGGCGGTTGTCTGTATTCAGATTAGCCCATGAGTTGAGGGTAACACGACTCTCAGCTCATGTAACCACATGTCGGGTAAAGGATTTTCCTCTTTGTTCTAGAACATTTGATGGTGTGCATTGATTATCTTTCAAATGATTATGGAATTGTAATAATACATTTACCTGACATAATAAATTGTTATATTTGATTATTCTAACAGACTTTAACTTTATTTTAATCAAACATTAACGTGTTTTATTGATGCACAGATATCATTGAAAAACCTTTTTAATTTTATGTCAGATTAAACGAGTTAATACATAAGATAACATGTATTGCATTTAATAAAAAAAATCCCCTTTCCATGGGAAAGACGGAACACACGTGAGACCTTCACCTCTAATTGTGTACCGCCATTGGATCGATTTAGTAGGCCTTACACCATCCTGACAGATGGGATGAGTCCGACAGAGGTCTGCTGGGGTTTGTCTACCCTTCTGGCCATGTAGCCTATACCTTGCGCATGTACACCTAATTTTTACCTTGCCTATATCTAATGCTGACTAATATATTTTCTTGCTTGCATAGGGTTCCCGTAACTTAAACCCAATCCCATATAATGCTGAGTATATGGGACATAAGATGCACTTGGACCAAAATGAAAAATTGGTCATGTTTGGAGTGACTCATGTGATTGCTGTAGATGGACACAGCAAGAAAATTGTTGCAAATGCGACTTTGCCTGTAAAAAACAATCTAGCCATCTATGAAGAGGTGTACAGGTCAGTGTTGTATGTTATGTTTGATCAAACAGATTTTATCAATTGTAATAATATTAATAACTGAGCGTTTCATCTATGTTTATGTAGACCTGCAGTAACACATTATGGAATGTGGGATCAACTTCGTGTGGATCATGGCAAAGAGTTTTACCTGTGCCTCTACATGCAAGAGAGACTGTCAGAATATAGACACAACCAGCAAAGACAGCCATACCTCCAAACACAGTCAACAAGGGTAATGTCAACCATCTGCATCTAACATTACACCACTGGTGAAAAGTAACTAAGTATATTAAGCCAAGTACTTCACTTAAGTACAATTCTGAGGAACTCGTACTTTACTTGAGCATATCCATGTCTTGCTACTTTATGCTCCACTACATAATGAGTAATCTAATTATTTCCAATATATCAATAACTTTGGCCAATTGTCAAGAATGGTTACAACCAGTACTTCTGATAATACTTATTCTAGGATTTGGAATACAGAACTTTTATCTTATGATGTTTTAAACATTGTGTGGTCCTGGGTATTTTACACAACAAGATAATTCTTAGTCTATTCACTAGTTCCCAACTGTTAATAACATAAAAACAGTTGTAAACACATTGTTAACAGACCTCCATCATCTCCTTTTTTAAAAAACAACAACACAGAATCACACAGAGGAAAGGATGTGGCCAGAAAATTATCCACTAAAGGAGGCCCTCATCCAGCTACAAGATCAGGAGGCCATAGATATGGAGGACAGTCTGACAAGGTTTTGCACATCTAATCTGACCTGCCAGATGTGCCAGATTGGCATAAACAGATTTGTGAAATCATGGAATGCTCACAGGATTCCAGGTATGTCACATTTCCCTTACAAGTTTATTCAGTTTAAGTGTTTTGTCATTGAACATCACAACAAACATTTCTTGTCTTGTTAAAGGGAGAGGGATACCAAATCACCTAGCAGGGACCGGAACACCAAGAAAAATCACAACCGATCTTCTACCAGATGCCACAGTTGCAGCAGACATGTATGACAGGGACATGGGATCCTCGCTCACCAGAGTATCTTCATTCGGAAGTGACCCCTTTCTGTCTGAGGCAGACAAAGTGAGAGCAGAGCAGCACTTTGCACGTTATTACCCTGACCTTTCAGTTATTTTTGACAGTGCTGTCAATTACAACTACCCAGATAGCAAATTGGCCTTGGGCCGGATCTGGCTTAATTTCGGCTGAGATTTTGGCCCACATACCGCATGGAATTACGGGCCAAGGTTGGCCCAAGTGCTGTTTGCCGTAAGTCAACCAGATCAAAGCCGTGAGCAAACCAAAACTCGCCCAGAGCTTTGCAGTGTACCCAGATATTACCCAGAACTGGGCCAAAACAACGCCGTACTCCCCATATGTCAGCCAGACAAAAGCCAAACTGCCACCACCTTTAGGCCAGAACTCAGCCACATCTTATCCAGAAGCTGCAGAAAACAGCCATAACTGGGCCAATATTATACCAGAGTCCCCAAAACTGAACCAGAAATTATTCCTGTGTAAAATAAGGTATAATAAAAAAAATGACACTACAGAAATGCAAAGAACAATATTTTATTGAGAAGGGAAGAAAATCTCAGCCAGATAAAAGGATAAACAACAAAATACAAGCCAATACTAGAGTAAGACAAAACAAAATATAACTATAATTCACATTACAAGAATAATAAAAAGACAGCAATAAATTAAAATGTTACAAAAATGTGTATGTGGCATTCTTAAATAATGAGATACAAAAATTAACAAAAATATGTTGGCCAAGAGATCTCAAAGTCCTGCAACAGAAGAAAACATGCAAACAAGAAAAACACCAGCAAGTCAAGACATCAGTTTCACAACACACATGCTGCAAATACAATGCAAACAATAAATAATAATAAAAATAAAACAATGAACACCATTGTCGAGTAGATATTTGTTGGTCGGACATTTGGAGAGCATTTATGTATTTGGTTGTGTTTTAGCACATGTGATAAAGATGTTCTTATTTTACAGGGTTTTTTTTCTGTTTGCATCCATTTTCTTCTGTTGCAGCGTGTTGAGCCCTCTCAGCCACCGTACTAAAAAGCAACAGAAACCAAGCAATATATTAAATTCATACAAACAGTAAAGCAAAAGTGTAAATGTGTCATGCATGCCACACCACCACTGCTATGACACATGCTATAGTATCCTTACACTAACAGTGAATATATGAAAAATACTAAATGAAATCTTACATCTTATTAAAAATACTAAATGAAATCTTACATCTTATTAATCGGTCATCACTTGAGAGGCTTTTTCTCTGTGGTCTGGGTGTTTCATGATGCCATGGTGACTGTATTGCCTGTCTGTGAGACTGTAAAGTTAAATCCTGTTGCCTGCGATGTTCTGTGAGGTCTTGTGAACTTCTCTACTTGCCATGGCTGCAGTAGCCTCCTCATCGGGGTCATTTTCATCCATTAGTCGCCTGTTTCATCTTTAGGAAAGGTACATTTTTTTAATGATTATTTGATTAAGAAAGTGTGGTATGGTCATGTAAAGACTATTCAGTGACAAATTCCCTTTTTGCAATTCAAAAAGAAATGTGCATTATAATGTGTTAAACTGCACAAATATATAAGGACCTGTAAGAAAGGTCTATGTTAATGAATTAACGTTAAAAAATAATCAATCTTACTTTATTTTCCGTTTTGGTGGCCTCAGAAAGATCAGCTGTTGTTCAGCAAGAAGCAGCTTCCGATGTTCTTCACTATAATGTTAATTTTCAATGAAAAACAGAATTCAAACATCAATTCTATTTCCTCTCCAACATAAAAACAAATAAAATCCAACCACACAAACCCCCCAAAAATCGTATCTAGTAATGCGCTATAGATTAAAATCCACGTGTTAAGATAGTGAAAAACTATAAACTTACCTTGATCATGTATTAAAACTTCAAAAGATAAAACCAACACAGCGTGATTGTCGAAGTTAGAACAACTAACTTAGTTATTTGAATTTCACCGCGACTGCGTTGAGTTGCTGAATAGCTGCTACGCAACTTCGGATCCTCTGGTAGGCGGGATGGTGTCACTGGGTGCATTCTGGGAAAAGTAGTCTTTTTGCAAAGCGGATTTAACACTGTACATGTAAATCAACTACAATTTCCATGATGCATTGCAAACCAGATTGTATCAGCAGCCACAGACGTCGCATCGACTGCCGCGTGGTTTGCTCACACTGCTCTAAAAACACGCAAGTTTCCCGGAGATTTTTAAAAACAGAACCACGTTTTATTTAACCGATTTCAATGGTTTACGTGGAGAACATAAATGTTTCTTCTCCAAATACTTACAATAGGCTATGTATAGGCTATTTTATGGAGATTATATAATTTTTTTATTGAGGAATTGTGAAAACTCAAAGCATGGGTGGTTTTTGCTTCAAAAAATCATAGTTTAACCATGGGTTTTTGTAGTACATCTGTAGGCTACCTAATAAATTCCCCAAAAAGTGAATTTTTGTGTGTGTGTGGCATATTGATTACCATTTGGATAACCACAAAGTACTCTTTCAGTTCCATTCAATCTTTTGTCTATGCTGCAGACTGAACCATTTGTCTTCAGTCATTTTGCAAACATCTTTTTTTTCCATTCTGCAATCTGCACATTATCACCTCCTTAACCCCCCCCCCCCCATTAAAATAATCTGCCAATAGAATAATCAAGGCTTCTTTCCTTAAAACCTGCCTACTTTTGTGTAAAAGAGAACTATTTGCATACATATCTATATGTATTTTTAACTAGGTCTATAACAAACTTATTTCATTTTATTATTTTTAACAAAATTAACCCTATTTATGAGGTTGCATTATAATTATGTCTAAAATATGAACCAATTTAACACCACATCTTACACGGCTATTTTACAGTACAGCACTTTCATGAGGTCTGTTATTTGCTCAGCCAACCAAAACCCAACCAGATCTCAGCCAAAAATGTCCTTATTCTGGCAGACCGAACTCAAGCCAAAGCTTAGCCAAACAGATACAATTTGATTTGTTTCTTTTGGTTAGCCAGACTCCAGCCAGAGCTTAGCCTAGTACTGTTTGACACAAGAGTGTGAAAAAAACAGTGCCAGAATTAAGCCAGAAGTGCCGAATATAAGCCAGACTCGGCCCAGACTTTGTTGCTATCTGGGTATGCTCCCTTCAAAGAGGCCTTGATCTACGTCATTGATGTAACAAAGACTTGTTCCTAATTTCATGTGCACTGGATTGTGAGGAGCCTTGTTAGATTGATGGACATCTCTCTGTACACCATTATGCAGGTACTACAACAGTAAAGGGTGTAAATATACCCTGATGGTATTTACCAAACAAGTTTTACTTTACGTGTATACAAGTGTCACTGTTATATGTCAACTGCTTATTTTGTTGCCATTAATAAATCAATTTACTGTCATTGTCTCCATATTAAACTTTATTCACAGCGTCGTTTTATGGAGAAAAAAAAACATTTATTTTACTTTTGTACAGAAACACAAATTGTGTAAACAAAGTAAGACAAGCTTTGCAAATCTCCACAGAACAGCCTGTCACAACACATTGCCACGTTTAGGCCTAGTAGCTCTTATTAAATCACTGTGGACTGTGAACAATAATGTAGAATAAAAACATCTTGCCACAGTTACTGTAGGCCTACTAGCTCTTATAAAACTACTGTGAGGTGGGAACAATGATGTAACATAAAACATTGTAACATTTTAGCTCTTAAAACTCCAGAGCTAAGAACATTGATGCAACATATAAAACAACAATCCTCAATATCAAAAATATTATAACATGATATAACAGACAAGTAAGGATTAATGGCAAGAAGAAAAGCAGCATTTACTCTTCGTGTGCCAGCTCTTTCATGACATTTACGACACCAGAAAAGGCCAGTGACTCTGTGAATGTTGATCGAAAAATTATCTGCTCGACACTTCAAACACATTGAGGAAGTCTGAAGCCACACAGTTGTGCAGGATCTGCATCCAACCAAACTTCCGCAGCATGCCGCAAATACTGGATCGTCCATGATTCCTGCCAGCGTAAGAAATAATATTAGAGGTCTGAAAACACAATACAAGATATACTAAATGAAGAATGAAAAATATTTTTCCAATTGAATGTCAGACAAGCGTTTCAAAAAGCATCCTTTATATAATAAAGGCGAGTCCTATATAAGAGTCCATGTATGAGATAAGTTTTAACAAAAAAATAACAAATTCTGTCTACAGATGCTCCAAAGCACACCCCGTACCACTTAATATCACAGATGTAAATTCCTGAATTATGCTTAAGGAATGGCTTTGCTTTTATGTATTGTTTTCCTTAATCTCAACTGGCTACACAAAGAACACCAGGAGCAGGACACTTAAGATTTTAAATGACTACATCATAATTCCAGCAAACAACAACAATATGTTTTTCAGGGTGAACACATAATTTTGTGTCTTCCTAAGGACAAGACTTACCTCTGCAAACCAGACAAGTGAATGTATCCCTAACATTCCTGGACTGTTCTTCAGTCAGTACCAATGTTGTGTTCCTGTTTCGATGGACCAGATCAGAGAGTCCTGAATGGCAGTTGTCACCTCAGACAAACCCTGAGCAGCCAGGACAAGCTCCTCGATCTTCTCGAACACACTGTCCAGTCCAGCCTCATCATCTCTGTGTCTGTGAAAGACAAATGTCACATGCACATGTTAAATAATTAGAAACTGTTAATGTGTGCAAATGATATCACATGCCATTACATTCAGATTGATTATGGACACAGAAATGATTGCTTTTGTGGCAATCAAATATTGCATAAAGTGGCCATTGACTGAAGCGGACCAATTGTAGGAGATATAGTTGTATCAAAGAAAAGACTCAGATAAACCTGGCAGTGTTTCTGGACGGACTGACAGAGAAATGTGCTATTATTTTAGGTGCTTTCATGCATTCTCTTTGAATATGTTGTATCAGACCAGCTCTGCTTTGTCAGGAGGAAAAAGTGAAGGGGGTGTAACAGAAGCCACTGGTAGTCCGACTTACGAGATTCTTCGCCTCTTTTGTTGCACAGCTTGGAAATCAACCTCTGGTATAGCCATAATTTTTCGCGCGTTCTGCTTCCAATAAAAGGTGCCTAATTGAGAACAAAATATACAGTATGTAGAAATAAAAGCTCACTCTTGAAGATGGACATGTGAATGCATATTCATTTGATTTTTATCTGAAATGGCAAATGTTTGACATTGTTATTGGCTCCAGTTTAAAATGTGAGACTATAAATGTTGACATCACATTTTCAAGATAAGACACCTAAACTATAATTTGAGATGGTAAATAAAATTGCACAAATGGAGCACCTATTGTTCCTTCTGAGTCCAATATTTCCACTCCATTGTGGTCTGTCAGAATGAGTTGTTCAGTGCTTCCTAAGGCATCTTTTACTTTGGCAATCATGGATGGGACACTGGCCTCCTGCTCAGTAAATCTTACAACCACCATTCTGCTGTTCACAAGCTTTCCACTCCGTACTTCTCCCAAACTGACAGTCCTGCACTCTAAAAAGAGATGTGTTAAAAAACAACACACATCATGTGTTGATGGTATTTTGACACAAGTTGTGTAGTTTTAACACACAATGTGTGTTAAAATGTAACTGGATAGAATTTTAATGGGTGGAGGGAAGTTTGTGTTTAAGAACATAATTAGAGGTAGTATATTTTATATGGTATCCCATAACAAGCTCTAAAATAAATGAAACAATACATTACAATAAATAAATAAAATCTTAATTCATAAAAAAAAAATTCAGATTAATGAGTGTTTTTGGCAGCCAATCACATCATGCCTCCGTTTCAATGTTTTTTTCAAATGCTGATTTCACTTGTTATTAATAACTAATTTATTATAACAAACAATTTATTTCTGTCAGACGTCTACAGAAACACTTATTGAGAATTACCAGGTTTTGTGTTGACGATTCATTGAATGTTTGTTTTGATGCCACCAGAATCGTGATTAGTGGCAGCTTTATTTAGGCTCTTGACCCTTCACTCTTTACCATTCGTTTCTATGTTTGCTGTTTCTGTGTATTTATATTGCACATCTGAAACAGTTGAAATTATCTTGAGGAAAAAGATCATTAAATGATCATTTTTCAACATGTTTTTTAACATAACAAGATAAGTTTAATGTTTAAGAGATAACTTATATTTGATCACTTATTTTTGATTACAGATACTCAGTGTTTACATGATATTATGGTGTACGCTACCTTATGCTATAATTCTTTAAAAAATATGTTTAGAGAAAGTTTAAAGCTGCAACAGAAACTAGTCAAATACAGACATCAAGAATCAGCATATGACTCTCAACAATGGTGGCAAAGCTTCATGTCTCTAGTATAAAGCTCATCCATAAGTCCCAGCATGGATTGCGGCATGAAACTTTTCGTTTGTCACCATTATTGAGATCCATACGCTGATTCTTGATATCTGTGTTTGACTGGTTTCTGCTGTAGCTTTAAACTTTCTTTGTCATTCTGCACTTTTTGATAGCTGGATGTAGTTTCACAAAACTTTCAGAACTAACAATAAATCATTAAAATAAAGCACACCATTCATATACTCAAAAACTTGATCATAACTTGCTGATTATGACATCTTCAAGAACCTTCTGATCATATTTTCTGTCACCATAACAGATGTATTTTATTAAAATACAGTTACAGCAGGCAGAGAAACACTAAAACAAGAGTAAAGGGGCAAGAGCCCAAATAAAGGAGCCATTAATCACGATTCTGGGGACTTGAAATAAAACTGAAATGAAACATCAAACCTCTGTTAATTCTCAATAAGAGCTTGTCTATGTAGATTAATGATGTTTAAAACATCCAAATGTTCAAACAAACTCTATTAAACATCACTGGACTACATAAACACAAGTTACCAATACGTGTCAGTGTTCATCCAAACACTTTTGTAAGCACACGGGAAGTAACTCTGGCAAATACTATCCGACTACAGTCACATGTGACGCATATCTGACACAAGTTGTGTTACTATAACACATTAGTGTGTAAAAGGTTTCAACAACACACTGCTGCTGTCTAACACATTAGTTGTGTTAAACGTAACACAAAATGTGTAATCCTTATAAACACAGAGATGTGTAAAGAAACGACACAGGTTGTGTGTTAAATTTGACACAACATGTGTTGTCCTTGAGCAAACACACTACATGTGTTAAAATCTACAAAACGGGTTAAAATCTACACAACATGTGTTAAAATCTACACAAAATGTGTTGTCCCTGAGCACACACACTACATGTGTTAAAATCTACACAGCATGTGTTAAAATCTACACAAAATGTGTTGTCCCTGAGCACACACACTATATGTGTTAAAATCTACACAGGATGTGTCATTTTTTAACATCTCTTTTTACAGGTTGTGTTATTTACAAAATCATTTTATAAGAGTGCACCAGTGTAAATAAAACTTATTTACACACAATATTTTGTCAGTTGCTACATTTTAATCTAATTCAAAGTGCAAACTTAGTGAAATCACACTCCCTGTGTTAAGAACAATAACACACTGGTTGAGTTAAAAGTAACACAAAATGTGTTGTCCTTAACTAGACA